ATTTATTTATGTGTGTGTGTGTGTGTGTGTGTGTGGCCAGCTCAGCCCACCAGGGGGCGGGCTGGCTGGCATGTGGTGCTGGGGGATCGAACTGTGGTCCCTGGGTTTTTGCTAAAGCTTGTTCTAAGTAGGTGCTTTAGACCACTGAGCCATCTCACCAGCCCAACATTACTTTTATATCATTACAAATGCCAATGAATCTGTGAAAAGGCAATTAATGCCTTATTAATCTTATGAAAATAAGTTTTTTAATATACTAGACCACCAGAGGGTCTTGAGAGCTCTCTGGAGTCCCTCACCCAACCTGCTAGGCTACCCTAATCCATTTATGGGAGTTTTTTTTGAGAACACAGTATCAAAATAATCAACTTCTTAGTTTTCCAACTTGCTAGTGAAGATGATAGTTTTAGAAGGAAATAAAAAGAGGCTAGATAGCTGAATGCGTCCTAAGTTCATATTATCATTCTCAGAGTGGTAACAGGAGGAGGTGCTAGGCTTTGGGGAGGTGATTAGGTAATGAAGGCAGAACCTTCATTATATTTGGGATTAGTGTCCCTACAGAAGAAAGCAAGCGGGCTCATTACCATATGAGGACACAGACAGAAAGTAGTCTATGAGGAAGTAGACTTCCTGAGACATACATTCTCCTAGTGTCTTAGTGTTGGGTGTCTCAGGCTCTAGAACTGTCAGATATAAAGGTTTACCCTTTATGAGCCACTCGATTTACATAATTTTGTTACAGTAGCCCAAATGGACTGAGACGCAGGAAGATAAAAGATAATGAACATCAAGGAAATGGGAAAAGGGGGGGGGCATTATTGTGAAACTAAACCAATCATATTTACTCTTGTAAGTACTATTCTGCTGCCCTGATCTTGCAATAAAGCAGATAAAATAATTTTAACAAAAAATTATCATAAGAACATGGTCGTTTCTTTCTGAATAAGTGATTTAATACATAAATATAAGAAAGTTTCTTTTTTTAATCTGCAATAGTAACTGCATTAAGCTAAAAACAAAAACAAAAAAATGTTCCACTTAAAACTCTGCGCATGTTAGGTATGGTGATGTACACCTATAATTGTGGCACTAGGAGGTTAAGGCAGGCGGATCACTGCAGTTTGAGGCCAGCTTGGCATATAATGTGAGACAACTGTCTTTTGCAAGCTCTGAATGTTTATTGCTTTCACTTGGAATGCTCCCTCAATAAAGTGTCAGTAGACTTAACTGATAAAGATAATTCTATCAAATAGATAATTCTATCAAAGTACTTAAAATACTACAGACATATAATATTAGAAATACAGTTAAAATTAAATCATACATCGTTTCTTGTGAGACTTCCATGATATGTCTCTGTAATTCAATTAATCTAACTAATGACTCACAAACTGAATATTAACTCTGGCAAATGCATTGTAAGACCAAAGGGTGTCTTACAGAAATCACGAGTTATGCACATGAGTGACACCTAGACCCAAGGTCCAGTGCTGGTCTATCTCAAACGTTCCTATTTAACAATAGAGGTCTCACGCAACTAAAACTTTGAGATACTGATAACTCACATTTGAATGTATATGGTTTTAATAATCAGGAAAATATCCCTAAGGCTTCATGTTAAGAAAATCCTTGCCTTAAATACCACTGTGAAAGGTTTTTCTTGTTTCTTGGGCTTAATCCAAAGGACACCTGTATGTGAAGTAGGCCAGGAAAACCACTCAAAGAGATTGCTCTTTCTCTATGTAGTTATTATTAAAGCAAATAAGTATCACAATTTCCAAAGTATAGTTTTTTTTTTTTTTTTTGTTTGTTTTTTTTTTGGTGGTACCATGGATCTGGGCTTGTCAGACAAGTACTTATTCCACTGAGCCATCTCCCTGGCCCCCAAAGTAAACAATTCTATCAAGGTAAGAAATCAATCTAGCATTTTATGAAGAATGTTTCAAAATTACAGCCTAAATATGCATCGCTGATTTATAGCAAGACCTTTTAAGAGTACGTACCTTCATTTACATGTAGGAAAAGCTATACAACTAAGTATTTTTCTGTATTTTGAACGGTATAAGCCAGATGACTTTAACCATCCTTCCTTATTCTAATGTTTTTCTAAAGAGATTAAAGATGTCTCTTAGAAATTACTCATGCCAACACACAGAAACATTAAAAAAAAAAAATTCAAAAGAAGAGAACTTATAAACCTGAGAACCTACCCTAGATCAGATCCAACATAACAGTATCCTATTCAACACTAAATAATCTGTATATGCTATACTTTGTTGGGAGGTCGAGGAAACTCCTAACCTGTGTTTATGTTAACTCTCAACCCCTGTGCTTAAAGAGAAAGCAGAAAAGCCTAAATTAACACCTATCCATAAAAACAAAATGTCTGATAGTACTAATCCAAGCTGGGAAGTTAGTACAATCAAGCTAACACTTATGTCAAATGTAAGCGTTCTATGCTTTAACAAAACTTGATATGAACCCTAAATACAGATTATGTTAGGATCTGAAAAGGAATTTAGCCATCACATAGTATATATAGTACAACCCCCTTTTACAGATGAAGCAATTAAAATCAACGGGTCTGTCGATGTTATACCCAAATTACAAGGTGCACCTTAAGGCTGTGGTCAAGCTTTCAAGTGTTGTCATAAGATTTAATTAGACAACAGAACCCAATTACTGGCATGACATCTTTACTCTTCACGAATATATACATAGCTACCGGATTTAAAAAAAAAGATTAATGAACTTCCCTTATTGTCAATGCAGATCTGAGGAATACGGAAAGCAACTGGGTCTCACAAATTGCAAAAATGTTGCTTTTAAAAATGCCAAAAACAGTAGATGGCCCGTAACTGGTATAATATGTTTGTTGCAAATGTGTACCACCTAAGTAACGCCATCACTGGAAACTGTCCATGTGTCCAATTCAAAGCAAGACACCATAAATAAAACTGCGCAAGTAACACGCTCAGCAAAATGTTAAGGTTTAAGGGGATGCTATATAAAGTCTCAACATAATCCCCTCTACCCAATTTCGCCAAGACAACTCCATAACCCTACAGAAAAAAAATAACTCAAAACTGCTACAAATCTCCAAATAATCTCGAAGGAGCATATCTCACGGGAGGCAACTAGCTCCGCAAAATGGCTGTAGCAATAGTGCTGGCAAGCAGAGAACTAAGACTTTGGGCTTAGTCCTAATCTAGCACACACAAACAGAAACTGCCACCAAAACATCTGCCCCCTCCCCAGCCTCACTTTCCCTTTCTTCATGCAGCAGCAAAGCAGCGAGCGTGCAAGAGGACTGCTCGGCCTGGAGGGGGAAATTCCGATTCTACAGGTACCGTGGCTCTGCACCACATCCTGCAGCCCCGCAAGCTGCGGAAAGAAAATTCCCGAGAGCTACAAACAACCCGCAGCCGCGAGCGGCGCGCCCCCGAGGCCCAGCGCCCGAGCCCCTCCGACGCCCCGGGCACGCCCCCGAGCGCCGGCCGGAAGCCGCCGCCAGCGCTGCGCGAGCGCTACGTGAGGAGGCCCCGCCGCGCAGCCCGCCAACGGCCGAGACTGCCCGGCGCCCATTTTGTCCGCGACCTCCGCAGCTGCCGCCCGCGGTCCTGGGGCCCGAGGCCCGCAGCCTCCTCACCGGCCCTCAGGCCGCGCCGCACGGCCAGCCGCCCCCAGACCCCGTCGGGTTCCACCCGCCTCGCCCCCGGCCGCACCCCCGTCTGGGCCGTACCCCCCAGCAAACAGATGCACCAGCGTGTCCCTCTGGCTCATTCTTTCTCCAGCATGTCCTCCAAGGCGCTGAGGCGGGACGCGGACTCGACTGCCCGCTGCAGCCGGCGGCTTAGGTCCCGGAAGGAGACGTAGCACGCCCCGGAGACGGCCGAGACG